ACGCCCTAGCCTCTTTTGCCTAGCAATTTCGAGCCCCGAGGTCGTGAGGACCTGTACCTATCCTATTTTTTCGCTGAAGCCAATTTTGGATGTGTCCTCTGAACAGCGGTGAAGGAGAGCTATCGGCTTTGGTTGAGGCTTTCGCTCACTTTCCATAAAACAGGCGAAGAAGCCAGAAGGTCAGCCTAATAAATTTACCTAATCTTGGACGACCACTCAAGCACTCATCTAGTCAAACCGTAAGACACACGCTTCACCCATCGGATTTTTCCAACTAACACTGCTCATTTAACTGGTTGTAATTGGACGCGTTCTAATCAGCTGCCAAATTTACTTCAACTCTTTTTTTGCCGTGATTGCTAGCAGGGCAGATGAGTTTAACGAAAATGTAGTTCGGGGGCGGGCGAGGGGGAAGGCATTCATGAAGCCTGATCACAGTGACAATATCTAATCGAAGAGGAGTTGTGGAAGGGCACTCAAATCCAATCAACACTCATAGCATAGGCTCGGGATTCCGTACAATCGGATACCTGAACGGTCGCTTGCATATCGAATCGCAAAGGAGATTTGGTGACTGAGGATCAGCAAGGATTCCATTATGTGGCGCAGTAGAACGACAAGGTTAAAAGGGTGGTCGTAAGGTGTGATTATGTTTGATAAGATATTAGTGCTTCTCTACAGCCCCACTCGACAAATATGAGCGCCTTTTCGCATCTCACTCGATTAGATATGAGTGCCCCCCCCCGAACTACATTTTCACCTGAGTTACACTAACGAAATGCCCATGTTAAACAACCTTAGCCTAAGTTCATCGTGAATTTCAGTCGTGCTTATCGAAGTTTAATAAAAGTGCAGTAGCGACCATATCCCTGTCGATTGTTCCGCTCACATCTTCTTTGTCTTTCCTTCTCTTTTATTTTCTTCATTATTTTCTTTTTCTTCGTACTTTTTAATTTCTGGATCTGCACCTAGTTGTATTAGCTAAACAAAATAAATAAATAAATAAATAAATAAATATTGATTCTTTCTATAACTTTTATTTGCTCAATTCCCTCACACTTTTTTCTTTATGTTACGCATTTAGTCGTAAAATAACGTGCTTGGAACTAAGCCTTAGGCAGGGGAAGGAATTCTGGGGGAGGAATGTGAGCAATACATATGGGTTCTCCCTCGCGTTTCTCCCTCTCGTGGGTTTAGTCCTAGTGTCACCTAGCATCGGCTCTGTTGTGCCCCGAGGAAATGAGCGCTCATCCCCGGATTCTGGATCAAATCCAGCACCTTCCAGGACCGTTTCGATCGATGATTCTCCCATCTCTTGGACCAATATCATGCACTTGTTATTAGAACCATTGCCATCGCGCTGCTCTGATCTGGGTTTCCCTAACAGAGTTCGCACATTACGGTATTTGGGTAGGCTTTTTCCGTGCACACTGGAGTTGTAAGTGTGTCCAGCCGTTGTTGGAGTCAGTGTTAATGTGGCGTCAGTTTGACGTCAAGGTCCAAATGAGACGGCTCGATTGATTTACCGTAATCACATTTGAGGTATCGTATCAATAAGAACACGGCTCCATGGCAGAAAGCGTGTGCGTCACCGAGCTTGGGAAATTACCACTACAAGTCGCTAGCTTGACTTATTACAACTACCAATGCGTCATAGAGGAACTGAGCGCGCCGTATCACTTCTGTAGGAATTCAAATAATCGCTTGGCCAGGGAGGAGGAAGGAAGGTGGCGAAGGAGGTACGGGAAATGGGTTGATACCACAGGTGTAGGCGAAAGAAAAGGCAGGGTTCCGTCAACTCCACGTTTCGTTCTCGGATCGTGTGTGTGATGACTTAGGAATTTAGGAAGTTCAACAGCGATGAGTAGGCTCTGCGGATCTATCCCACCATAAGCTTTCGCTAAACTAACCTCGGTTTCCTGACCAATCCCTTGATTTGTTCAGACATAGATGCTTGCTAGTGATTGAAGGAATGGAAGAATGAAGATTAATTCCTACTATATACCATTTCTTCCAATCAACTGGCACATCTTATATCCCTGATTCTCGCCAGTTTCACAAAACGTTGAGTATGAACGCAGCCTTCCTCACTTTAGAAATCGTGCATCTTGAACTAGGCACTCTAAATTAAAGATTGCGTTTAAATGGGACTGCTTTTATCGTATTTGTTCCTAATCTTCGAAGTCCGAGTAGCTCCTGGGGCGCTATCGCAATATACGGGGACATCCTCTAGGACTAAGCCTAGGAAGGGGGCAGGAACTTAAAAAATAAAATGACCTACACGCACATTGGAGTCTCTCCTCCCCGCCTAAGGCTTTGTTCCGCTTCAACGAAAAGGGCATATTTTACGCAGTTTTGAATGCATTACTATCACAATGCCCCCGTATATTGCGATAGCGCCGCTCTTAGTTCTTATGAGCATTCTGGGTAATCGGGCTTTCGTTTCGTTAGTTGGAGGTGCACCTCTGAATCGCTAAATCGCTCCAGGACCGCAATGCAGGTCCTCATGAGTGTTTTGCCCTTAATTTCGTGGATTTCAAGGTTTTCTTAGTAATCCACACCCGCCAAGTGCAATGTGGCCGTGACTTGGGGGAGGGATGTTTTTTTGTTCGTCGATCTTCCAGTAATTTGTTTTGAGAGCAAGTCCACGGCTGTTACCTGACTAATTTCAAACCACAACAACAATCTTCGATTCCCGAGGAGTGGGGGGGGGGTGCTTGGTAGATCAGGTGATGAGCTGAATGACGTCATCCTCCCTGCTTGGTCACGTAGTATTATGAGCGCATTGTGCTGATATGTATGCATGCATGACTTATGTCATGATTTATTTTGACATATACCGAGAACTGAAATTTCGCCCCACCCACAATTGCTGTTGTTGTTGACGGAGAAACGCGAAGCCTTCATGGCAGCCGGCTGGTTGGTTGTCAGGAAATGAAATGTGTGTGTTGCATTTCAAACCTGTCATATATGATGGAAAAGCCGCGGAATGCAGGAGCAAGTCTGAAACGATCTGGAAAATAGCCATAATATAGTCAAACAAATTACCAGAATGAGTAATTGAGCAAGTTTCGTGTCCCGATTTCCGATCCCCTTTTCCGTCCCGATTCTTGGTTTTTGTTTATGAACACTCAGGGTCGCTCGAATTATAAGAAGGCTAGTCCATCACTGACCCCACGTACCTCCTATCCCATACCCCGATCACGCGAAAGTCATCGAAGAACTCGTCACAATCAACCCCATTTCGGGTAAATCAACATCTTCTTTGCGGATTTTTCCTGTTGAATTTTCCCTTTGAGGTAGATTTCTCTTCCTTTTCTTCTATTGTTTTTCAAGTGGCAAATATCGAATTTCCAAGAAAATAGAACACTTAACTTCAGTAGCGATCAGAAGTTTTCGTCGAAGCGATTTTTCGAGGTTTAGGCTATTCAAAAGAGAAATAGTTAATCGTTGAAGGCGGAGTTTATAAACGGAAGGCAACCCATTAGAACTAAGCTAGAGGTAGTCAGTGGTGCAGGTACGGTCACTTTGATTAGGCTTTATGAATGCCCCCACCCCCGAACTACATTTTAACCGTAACTCATCTGCCTTCCTAGCAAATCACGGCAAGTATAGAAAAAAGTCTTAAGTAAAATTTAGAGCTGTAGAACGGTTCATTATAGCCTAGTAAATGAGCAATGAGAATTAGATTGGAAAAATCATGATGGGAAGGTGTCTTATGGTGAAAGAGAAACAAGACC